CACTAAATGCTATTCTTTTCCCTTTCTGGCCATGACTCCAGTTACATTTCCTGGGGCACTAGTGTCTTATGGAACATAGTTTGGCACATGCTGGTTTACTGAAAAGTATATAGGACTGAAAGACAAATGAACATAATGTCAAACTAAATTTAAGGAACCTTCTATATGACTGTAGCAAGCTCTTTAGCTACTCTGGATCTCAATTTTCCTAAAAATAATAGTCTTAATATAGATTTCACAATGAATAATGCAAAATCAATTGCTCTAGTACATTTTCCACTGCAATGGCAAATAATAAACTTTATTCATTAAGCCAAAATCAAACATTTAGAGAATGTGCAATGTTTTAGACTCTGCTGGAGCTCCTATAATGGTCCTTACATGAAGGAGCTCACAGTAGTACAGAAGACACACACTCAGATAAATCACTACAGGAAGTGATTCAGCCTATTCACTGATTAATCATAAAAAGGGCCAGGCTGACCAAACTCTACAGAAGAGTGGAACTGAGGGATGATCATCAATTTGCTCCAGGGGATAAGGAGAAGGGCACCCCAAAGACAAAGAAGAGTTTAAGAATATGAAACTTTCAACAGTCTAACTAAATGTAAATATATCCCTCTGTAAATACAGTTCATACTAGCCTCTTTAACGTGTGTTGTGATTTCACTCTTGCAAACATTCATATCATATCAGGGTGAATGTTGATACTAATTAATAGTAACAGTACTTTTCAAAAGCTACCTCAAGGTTAGTGCATAGTTTGATAAATAATATATGCATGGCATCAAACTGGTAAAGCATATGCCTACTCTTATTGACTAATTTATTATCAGGACCCTATTTATTTATTTATTGGTAAAGATTTTATTTATTTGAGAGTGAGAGAGCACGCACAAGCAGGGGGCAACGGCAGGGCAGGCAGAAAGAGAGGGAGAAGAAGGCTCCCCGCTGAGCAGGGAGCCTGATGTGGGGCTCGATCCCAGAACCCTGGGATCATGACCGGAGCTGAAGGCAGATGCTTAACTGACTGAGCCACCCAGGTGCCCTAATCAGGACCCTATTTTTAATTTCCATATTATAGACACACGACACCATATAAATTTACCATCAGCTTCCAAACTTTAAAGTTCTATGCAAAATCTAAATACATGGGGGCGCCTGGGTGGCTCAGTCGTGAAGCGTCTGCCTTTGGCTCAGGTCATGATTCCGGGGTCCTGGGATCGAGTCCCGCATTGGGCTCCCTGCTCCTTGGGAGCCTGCTTTTCCCTCTCCCACTCCCCCTGCTTGTGTTCCCCTCTCTCGCTGTGTCTTTCTCTGTCAAATAAATAAAATCTTTAAAAAAAAAAAATCTAAATACATGACCTCAAAAACCATCCAGAGTGAAAAATAATAGCCAACATACTTGACAGAAATAAAAAAAAACAAGACATGAGATCCTGGTATGGAGTAACATGCCCGCTATATGTTGGTAGCTGTTTCCAGTTTAAGAGGTACATAATCTACAGGGCTAAAAAATAAAGTTGTATAATATCCTCATGCATCTTCTTTAAGATTAATAGTCTCAACTCAAAAATGAAATCACTACTTTAAAACTATACACAATACAAAAACTTATATACAATACAAAAAGCCTAAGGCTTTTTTTCATGGAAAGGCATCGATACACAGAGCAGGGGGGTAGGGGGGAATAAAATCAAAGGCCACAAATATAAAATCAACTTAATCTTTTTTTCCTCATAGAGCATTCGAGCTTTTTTTTTTTTTTATGAAGCATCAACTTATTTGTGTTTTCTTTGTTCTTAAAACTGAACACAAATGCAGTTAGCACAGCACGTTTTTAAAACAGCTGATTTCCATTTTATAGCACAGCTGGGTATATTAGGGGAATCGAAGGTGGGCTCCTGAGTTACACAGCTTGGGGTTTCATCCATACTGTAGCACTAACTAGATGTGTGACCTTGTGTAAGATTTTTTATGTTTTATGGAACAAAAATGTCTTACAGTAAAAAATGAGAATACTACTATTTACTTCCCAGAAGAACTGTAACAGTTAAATAAAATAATATTTGTTAAAGTGCCTTCCTCTTCCTTCAGCATTAAAATAAGCCATCATCTCTCCATTTTACTTCCAGTTTTCTTTTTTTTTTTTAAGATTTTATTATTTATTTGAGAGAGTGCGTGTGCACACACGAGCGAGGAGAGGAGCAGAGGGAGAGGGACAGGCAGACTCCCCACCGAGCACAGAGCTTGACATGGGGCCCAATCTCAGGACCCTGAGATCATGACCTGAGCTGAAATCAAGAGTCAGAGTCTTAACTGACTGAGCCACCCAGGTGCCCCTTCCAGTTTGCTTCCCTGAATGAGAACAAAGATAAATAAAAGGGCTCCAGGGTGGCTCAGTCAGTTAAGCGCCTGCCTTCGGCTCAGGTCATGATCCCGGGGTTCGCGGATAGAGCCCCACACCAGGCTCTCTGCTCAGTGGGGAGTCAGCTTCTCCCTCTGCCTCTGCCCCTGCTCCCTGCTTGTGTTTTCTCTCTCTTGCTCACTCTCTCTCAAATAAATAAATTAAAAAAAAAAAAAAAAGACAATGACAAAAGATAAGGAAGAAGACTAACCAGTCTACCATCTCTTTATCATTCTGTCCTAAGGGAACATTAGAACTATCACTGGGAGCTTTCAGATACTAGCATCCCAGGTCCCAGACTTTCACCTGTAGCATCTGAATGACAAGGGATGGGGCCCAGAAATGTGGCCTGTCCTTAATGTTCCCTAGGTAGTAATTCTCATGCGGCCAATTCCAGACCAGTGCTTAGAATAAATTTCCTAAAGCAGTAAACACACAAAGTTGGTGCTTAATAAATCTTTATTAAATGAATATATTGTGCATGACTGACTGACAGAGCCATTTGTGATACCATTTAAAAAGTAAAAAAGAATCTAGTAATAATGCCCTCGGTGGGCATGGGACACTGACAAGACTTCCTGCCTTCAGAGTTTAAAAAGGGAGGCTGACATGTAAACAAATAAATTAAAATAAAATTATGATAAATATAATAGAAACACAGTAAAAAGGAGAGGGGGATTAATGTGCTGTTCAAAAGCAGTTAATTTCAAGAACTTAGTACATTATGTCAATACAGTATCAACTACAACAACATTAAAAAACCCAAGAGACTATGAAGAAAAAAAGACCAAAATTTAAGGGGGACTATCAATTTGTTTTACATTTACATTGTCATGCTTTAAACGCTCTATGATCAGTACTATATTTTGTTTTTTAATGACTAAAGAAATAGTACAAATAATCTCTGAAATGTGGAGAACACACCAACCAGGTTTACATGTTAATCTTCATATAAGACAATATTATTTCAAGCAATCCTTACTACTGCCTCATTTGAGTACAATAAATGAAACTGGACAGTCCTCTGGCTTTTATTATAACAGGATTTGATGCACGCAAGCATAGCTGTTCAGATAAGCATAATTCAGATAATTCTAGAATTGCACGTCAAACTTATAAAATGTGGAGACACTTAATGGACATTACGGATACTGATGACCAGAAAAGTTGCTGTCACTATCAGTTTAACTACTATCAACAAAGACTTAAGCTGTTAATGGGTTGGCTTTGACCCAGCCATTAGATAATATTGGAAAGACGCTCAACTCTTGAGGGTGAAATGTTGACTCTTGCTATCCATAAAGTCTACTTTCTTATCTAAAAACAAATAAAAAGAGAATATATCTTCAACTGTTTCTCTCCCAAATACTATTGAACCAGAGACAGGCAAGCTAGGTGTGATGAAGACGCAACTCTATTTCTTCTGGTTGCAAGGACAGGTGAAAATAATATTCAAATTCTTTTTTCTTTTTTTTTTTTAAGATTTTATTTATTTATTTGAGAGGGAGAGAGGTAGCGAGAGAGAACTTGAGCTGGCGGTGGGGAGAGGGAGAAACAGATTCCTTGCTGAGCAGGGAGCCCAACGCAGGGGCTTGATCCCAGGACCCCAGGATCACGACCTGAGCTGAAGGCAGACTCTGAACAAACTGAGCCACCCAGGCGCCCCTCATATTCAAGTTCTTGAAATAAGCCATGTGTTCTCACCTCTGAGCATTTAGAGTGGTTCTCAAAATTGAACAAGTATCAGGATCACCTGTAAGGATTTGCAAAAATGCAAACTGAGGAGCATGACCTTTAGTGTTTCTGATTCCACAGGTCTGGGTGGGACTGAGAGTTTGCATTTCTAACAATTTCCCAGGGGATGAGATGGTACTGGGGCATCGGTCACCCTGTGAGAACCACTTACCTTTTCTTTTCAGCCTTGAATAACCCTACACTATCTGGCCACACCCACTGAAACTTTCCTTGGCAATAATCTCTTCTCTAAAGCCCTCCCTGAGACCCTATCTGTGCTTTTCTAGCCTGCTTCTCCCTTCTTCTAACACAAAAAAACATTTCTTATAGCCCTTCTCTTTTAGGGGCTGCTCGGACTGAGTTCAGTATGGCTGTCTGGACAGGGACAGCCTTACACACATTTTTACTGATTTCAATGCACATGACCGTGAAGACAGCAAGCTCTGGTATCAGGCTGCCTGGGTTTGAAGCATGGCTCCGTGACTTCCTGACCATGTGATGAGGGTCATGTTACTTCAAGTCTTTGAACCTCAATTTCCCCCTCCAAAACAACAAAGATCTCAACAGGGCATACCACACAGGTTTGTTTGTGTAAAAATAGTGCATGTGAAGTGGTTAGCACGTTGTCTGACATGGGGCAAATGCTTAACAAATGTGACTCATTGACATTATTATTAAGATACATGGATTTCTAAGAAGAAAGGGATGATAAGTTGCTGCTGGAAAACCCTTGAAGAAAAGAGGATGTTTATAGCTTCCTTTTGCTCTTCCCGCACATCCCCCCCACCGTCCGCACGCCCCTCTCTGTCTTCGCTGCACTGGGAGCAGCTCTCCCACCACAGCCCCTCAGCCCCTGAACATGTCTGCCTGTGCCAAGTTCGTCTCCACCCTCTTCTTGGTCAGGAGCATGTCTCAGCTGTTGAGCCCATCACTGTCTGCAGTGGTCCCAAAACCACCAGAGACACTGGCAGATCAGAGCCTCAGCAGCTGGGCAGCCCCATGCCCCCTGACCTCACTCATTCCTAGAGGCAGTTTCCAAACCAGCGCCATTTCAAGGGACATCGACACAGCAGTCAAGTTCATTGGGACTGGGGCTTCCATGGTAGGGGCGGCTGGCTCTGGGGCTAGAACTGGGACTGATCTTGGGAGCCTCATCATTGGTGATGCCAGGAACCCCTCTCTGAAGCAATGGTTCTTCTCCTACACCATTCTGGGCTTTGCCCTCCCAGAGGCCATGAGGCTCTTTTGCCTGATGATGGCCTTTCTCATCCTCTTCGCCATGTGATAGAGCCATGTCCCCTTCCCACAGGTCTTCCTCCCATGTCTCATCTGCCCTGTATGTTCCTTTTCCTGGACCTCCCTACGCAGCCCAGGGAAAGTGGTTGGCTCAGGGTTTCACAGAGGGAAGATAAATAAATACTGTGTTAGTGAGAAGAAGAAGAAGAAGAAGAAAAAAACCAAAACAGGATCTTTATAAAGTTTTGCTGTGAGATGAATTTTAAAAAGTGATTTTTTTCCTCTTCAAGAAAATTGGGAGTAAAAGTCTTTATTACTTCACAGCTCTCAGGATTGGACTGGTGTGTGAAGACTGGGCCACAGGATTACTCAGCGTCCCTGACTTTATTGTGCTAGAGTCAAGAGATGGGATAGGAGCTGGGTGAACACTCAATAAAGAAGCTTAAAATGGTCAGGGAAAGGATTTTCAGCATGGTCATGAATAGTCACTCCACTCTGAGAATTATTTACCAAGATATGGCTGGAAGCATGGGCTGTTTTATTTGGAGATCAAAACAGAGTTTCACGACTGGATTTCTTAACTATTTGACCTACAGCAATAAATGTGGGGATGAGAAGGACTGGGTTGCATATGGAAGAAACTATAAGGACGGATAGTAATAAACAGCAATATAACAAGAACAGTAATAAAGAGTATTATGACAAAAATATGTAAGGAAAGAGGGCATTCAACGATTTCAGACCGTACACAGAATATTGCAAATGTCTGCCTGGTAGAGGAGATACCATTATTTAATTCCAAAAGAACTGGCACCCTTTGGTTTCTCAAGTACTCAGAGTGTAATATAAATGTCAAAACTTTCACCCAGGAACCAATGAATCATCATCTCCTGACAAAGAAAAATGGGCCTGGACCAGGGGGCTATGTCTTCCGAAATGTTTAAAATGACAGACAAGCTAAATTACGTTTGAAGGTTTTATTTTTCTAAGGCAGACAAATGACATTTTTACTAATACTGAAAGATAATTTACTTGTTTAAAAAAATATATTCAGGCCATGTTCTTCTAGTTCCAGAGCTTCTCATACCACTTACAACAGAGAATACTAATGACGAATAAAATTGGGCACCATTTCTTTCCTTATCCATCCCAAAGGAGCAATAATCATCACTATACTGTCATTTCAAATGTAAAGTAAAATCACTAATCCACTGGGACTCTTAAGTAGAAAGCTGCAAGGTATTGTTTTATGGCTGCCACTTTTTTCAAGACGTATTTTCATCTTGTGGAAGACTTCATTCTAGTTAATTAAAGGCTGTGTTGATCAAAGGAAAAATGCATGTAGATATATACCCCATATAATGCCTATTCTATATATTGTGTGCCTAGATACAGAATTCTATTTTCAGCTGGTTTCCCAAAGAGGCCAGCTCTTTCAGAGTTAATCATGCTAATAAAATTTACCACCTTCTTCTTGGCTTTGGTGAAGATCCCTATAAAATTACACAGTGACCTCAGGACATTTCTATTTGCATTATGGGGTGTCTCCATCATGATTCTAACTCTGAGTTCAATGGCATGTAAAGTGATGCTAAATAGTTCTACTCTAGACCAACTATTTTAAGGGTCTTTCAAGGCAAATATGTCCGCTAAGCCTACTTTAAAAAATAAATTTTACATATGTCTGTACACATAACACACAGTTTCCTAGATTCATACACTAGTATGTTAAGATTTAATACAAATATTTATGTTAAATAAATACCCTTATCCAAAGGTTTTTTTTCTTTAAGTCACATTTCCTGGCAACTGATTAATAACCAGGTAAGCTAAAATAATAATGAACAATTGATTGAATTTATTTTAAGGCTAGACTGAAGAATTTAACTAGCTTGGAGAAAAGTTACTACTTGTATTAGTAACCAAGTCATGAGGTGTGGGGAACAAAGGTGTTAAGAGGCACTAGAGAGGGGCAAATGCCATCATAGTAATTTACACTCAAAATACATGAAACAATAAGGATACTAGAGAAAGCCAAACATTAAACTTGGTACCATTAACTTAGTACCAAACATTAAACTTAGTACCATTCTTTGCCTACAAATTTATCAAAACTGGTAGCTGGTTAAGTCTCAGTTTGTGCTAGCTGGTTAGATGGAAGTCACTGCTGACTGTATATAGCTGGGCGTAAAGAGAAAATCAAGTAACTACCACTATCACTGAGTATACCTGTTCCACACATGGTCCCTGTTGGTGGGGTCAGCCCAGAGACCTTGTTCTACAGCATGATGGCATCCTACCAAGCTGTAGCTAAGTGGACCAAGGGTAGGCATCTCACCCAATGGCAGCCAACTGAAAGGCTGGCTAGAAGATCAGATTTTTACTCCTAGAAAGCTAAAAATTAAAATGAGGCAAAGGAAAAAGCAAATGAGCATCATGATGTGTAAGCCCAATTTTTAAAAGAACCCAAACTGTGAGAACATAAAACTGTAAGGAGGGCAAAGCTAGCATGCAAGTTAGCTGAGTCATTTACTGGAAGATAAGTATTTGTGGGCAAGTTATCATTCACATTCTTTTTTCTCCTGCTCAGCTTTGTAATGTTTACTACCATTCCTGTGATTCTCTTGCATTTTTTTAGAACTCCCAAGTACATCACATACATGCCATAACACTTGCAACAATCTGAATGAGTCTCTATTTGCAAAGAAAAGATCCAACTAAAGACTGAGCAAAAGTTTTGCCAAGGGATTTGAAAATCACATTAAATCTCCAAGTAAGCTGTCATCTCCATAACCCATTTTTCTCCATTTGACCAAAGTGCCATCAGAGAGAAGAATAAAAATGGCCCATAATGGCCTCACAACCACCATTCTTAACAATTTAATTATCAGAAACTACTTCATTTCCCACCTGTCTTTCCCTGGTCTCTCCTCCCTACCCCTCACACCCTTACAAGGATTTCATTTATGGTTGACAAATCACAGTGATTGCCAGGTGTTTAAGAAACGAAAAATAGTCATCTTCATCAAAATAGAGCATGGTATTTGTTATTATAGATATTCAGAAGTGCAGAAGATTTTTAAGAATATAAAGAATTTCCAGTGGTTTCATTAATTATATAAAAGTTCAAATTCTACCTTGTTCGTTATCAAACAACATATCCCATTCATAAACAGTTCCCAGACTTCAGCCATAAAGTTCTGTATCTCCTATTTTACTTCCTCCTCTCCACCCATTTCATTAACCTCCCCCCCCTACCCCCCGCTTGCCAAGGTTCAAAAATCTCCCAGTCAGGTAGAAGTGATTTCATGCCAGACCTGCTTTGATCTTTCTCCTATGTGTTTTAACTATTCACTTAACCCAAGAGGTAAATAGGATTCACTTAACCTCTATCCTCCAAATCTTTTCAGAATAAGTATATATTTCCTTCAAGATGTCACACAGTTCCAATTCATTGAATCTTCTTATTCCTGTTCAAAACTGGATTATAAAATACTCACACAAGTACAAAGACTAATGAGCACCCATGCAGCTGCTACCTGGTTAAGGAAAAAACAAAACAAAACACTGGAGTGCAGTCCTCTCCAATCATACTCTTTTGTCACCATACTGACTTTAATGCTTTTCATTCTGAACTAGGTGCCTTTATCTTATATACATGTATGGACTACTAAAGAATACACAGAGATACAGGTACATTTTGTCATGTTTTTAAACTTTATATAAATGTCATCATACTATATTCTTCTTCAAACATGAAATTGATTCATGTTGAGGTACGTGGTTCCTGTTCAATTATTTTTTACTGCTGGATAGTCTGGGTAGCTTTTCATTGTTGTAACAGATCACAATGTATTTTTTTATTATTATTTATTTATTTATTTTTAAAGATTTATTTATTTGACAGAGAGACACGACAAGAGAGGGAACACAAGCAGGGGGAGCGGGAGAGGGAGAAGCAGGCTTCCCGCTGAGCAGGGAGCCCGATGCGGGGCTCCATCCCAGGACCCCGAGATCATGACCTGAGCCGAAGGCAGATGCTTAACAACTGAGCCACCCAGGCGCCCCCACAATGTATTTTTTAATCCTACTCTGGATTAACAGAACATTTCCAGTTTTAACTACACTTAGCAATGTGGGTTGAACTTCATTGCTAAGTCATCTTTTTTTCCTTTCTGTTTGCTTTTAATGTATTAGCTTTGACTTTGGTGTTCTATAGTTGTATTTTGCTGCGTTAAGGTATGGGTCTCTTTTATCTTTCCTGCTTGGAATTCGTTATGCTTCTGGGATGCAAGGATTCATGCCATATTTATCAATTCTAGAAATTTCTCAATTTCTACATCCTTTGATATTACCTCTTTCCCATTCTTTCTATTACCTTCTTTTGGAACTTTGTTTATATGTTTGTTGGAACTTCTTGTCTTACCTATTCCATTTACCTACTGCTGCATAAAAAAATCACTCTAAAACTTAGTAACAACTGCCATTCTGTGGGTCAAGAATTCTTTTTTTTTTTTAAGGTTATTTATTTATTTCAGAGAGAGAGAGAAAGAGAGAATGAGCAGGAGGAGCAAAGGGCGAGGGAGAGAGAATCTCAAGCAGACTCCGAGCTGAGCGTGGAGCCAGACATGGGACTTAATCTCATGACCCTGAGGATCATGACCCGAGCCAAAACCAAGAGGTGGACATTTAACTGTGCTACCCAGGCATCCCTGTGAGTCAAGAATTCTAATAGGGCAGAGCCTGGATGGACTGTGTTTGTTCCATGATGTCTGAGACCTCAAACGGCAACACTCAAAGTGACTAGGAGTGACCTGAAGAACTGGGACTGGACTCTCTGTCTTGTTTGATATTTCTCAAAACACTGTAGCCTCGGGTAACTGGATTTCTTTAATGTCAACGCAGGGTTCCAAGAACAATCATTCCAGCAAAAAAGATAGAAGCTATATAGCCTCTTATGATTTAGCCTCAAAAATTACATAATATTTACACCACACTCTTGGTTCAGTCACAAATCTGCCCAGTTTCAAGGGCATGGACTCCATGTCA